AAAAAACCTAAATACCCTTTAACAAAATCCAACTGAAGATTTTCTTCCCTTCTCCTTCATACGAAGTACAGTGCCAGATTCAACATACTCAGTCTTCTTACTCTCAGCAATAAATCCAACCCCAGAAAAAATAGGATACTTGCTCAAAATCCCAAGTGCCCTCAGCTTTCCACGTGCATCGCAAAATCTCATTGAATCATCTACTTCTAGTTTACTTAGAAATTCTTGGCCATTCACATGCAAAATTACGTCAGGAGATACAGGAGGCAGTGGCGGACCTGTTCCTCGGGGAGAAAGCCAAACTTGGGCTGGACATATCACACCTCCAACGACATTCTTCATGGGGGATATTTTCACCACACATGAACCTGCCTTCAGTTTGCCAGTTCAAAGCTTTGGTCCAGCTAAGTCCATGAGCACCCAACGTGGCTTCTCAAGAATTTGAGAACTTTTCTTCACCCTTTTAACCATTTCAATCCATGTATCTGGATTACCATGTGCACAGTTGATGCGGAAAATGGTGGCCCTGCTTCTATAAGACCAGCTACATGAAAATCATTGTCGACTACATCTTGGCCAACTGTTACAATGATATGAGTGCCTCTCTGCCTTTGAAGCGTTCCCAATAGTATATTCCTATTAGAGAATGCCCTTTTCGTCATTGCAGTTATTGCGAAGTCCCCTTTTGTTCAATTACAGGGAGCACTTCACCAGAATTTTTAAGCCACAGAGGGAATCTGATTTTGAGTTATTCAGCATTTGGATACACAGAGAAAGACTTGAAAGAACGTATGGATTTATAGTCTCCAAAGTCAGAAGTCCCAGTGAAGAAAACTCTTCTTTAATCTGTTCTATATCTAGGCTTTTTAAAGCCAGATAGTGTATCAGGTTTGTTACTCACCTAGTAATTTGAAGTAAAACCATGTTATTTATAGTTTGTTCTCATAAAACTAGAGAAGAAAAGGAAGACGCCAAGAAATTCGTTGTTGATGTTCTTACTCAAGAAAAGACAGTATTTACCCTTGACACATTTTGAGTTTTGAAGCATTCCATTGTTCCATTGCCAGAACATGTAACTAAACAGCCTTCAGCTTATCAAGAAGATTCTCTAGGTTTACATGGTTCATAAACTTTTGCTGGATATCAGTGCCTGATGCAATTGTGAGGCAAAACATGGATCTTGAGAATTCTCATAGTCCAGAAGATGGATAACCACAGAATCATCAGCAAAATTATGTGAAACCCATCTTTCAGAATCATCTTCCTCATTTGGAACAGCACAGACAACAGTTCTCAGAGCGAGATTTCTTCTTTAGCTTCCAAAAAGAAATATGTGATTTCTAGAGGCTAGATTTTTAGCATGGAGCTTATAGGGAAGATATATGCAATTCTGATAAAAGTTGGGAGATGTAAAATTAGAAGATACAATAGCTAGGTTGCCCAGCACAAAAGAAAAGGCTGTCACTTCAAATAAAAGGGAGGACAAGCAAAACCAGTTTGAAGGACCAGAAAGAGATGTCATATAAAAGAAGGTCCTACCAATGGCCAATGGCTTAAAGCAATGAATAAAATCTTGAAAAGGTGGTTTGCTATAGCACATGAAGAGGATTATTAAGATAAAAATATCAAAAAGAAAAAATAAGTTGAAAATAGGAAAGGGATTTCGAGTTAAAAACTCACTACATATTGTGATTAGTTCTTAATAATTCATTGTTCAGTGTTCAGGTTTCAAATTGTTAGAATAGTAGTTTTATCAAACACTCCTTAAATGTATCAGTTACAGTACCAAATATAAAAAAACACAGGCTAAGCTTAGGAGTACAGAGCAGTATATTAGACATTAGAAACTGGCAAAGCAGCTCCTATTTTCATAGCTTATCTCCACGTCTAAAATGCAAGTGATTAAATCATTTTATCAAAATTAAGTAGGTTTATTGTCTGGATAGCACTAGAAAAGCATGAAAATCCTATAAAACATATAATTCATTTTAACACAATACCCCCTGAACTGCCAACGCTAAGTTCACAGTTCACTAATAGAAACACTTGAAAAGAGAATAATTTTTTTTTCTCAAATACTTCAACGGCCTTGCTTGCTACCTCGCATAACCAAATCAAACAAGAAAGGCTACTCACATAACTTAGAAGCAAGGACTGATCTGCAATTGGGCAAACCGAAACAGTTCTAATCATCAACTCCAATCCAATATTTAGGGGATAAAACAGGCGATGAATCCCAACCTGCAATACTCACACCAAAAGCAACTGAATATTAAGAACAGACAGCATTAACTCCAGGAAGCCATGCATTAATCCTTTGTCACCTTCACAACAAGAAGTTCCCGATAGTGAATCACCAAAAAATTTAGAACTCTTGCTGCTAAAATCCAAAAGAAAAATTTCCAAGAAATTACGAATACAAAAAAACTGAACCAATAGATATTAAATTCAGCTTTCATAAGTAAAAACACGATTATCAACACCCGCAATAGATATTAAATTATCAGAGTCAGATAATTTATGCCCCAATCACATCCGCAGCAGTCTGCAAAGATCAACAAACTTAACCATAACGCATTTTCATTAAACATAACCATTTCCCAAAAATTCATAAACAAAATTTTAGTTCATAAACAAAATTTTAGCTAAACACACATATTTATATAGAAAGTTTTCCGACAAAATCGGCAAGCGTACGAAATCGTTGTACAAGTAATAAGATTTGTGAGTTAAGAGTATTGTTCCCATAAGGAATAAGGTTTAATTTATAGTTCAATAACTACTATTAACTTCGAAGTGTGGTGATATTGTAATCTATATTAATCATAAATTAACAAAACAAATAAAGTATTTATTTANNNTAACAAAACAAATAAAGTATTTATTTAATATATAAATGTTTGTATTGGAATTGTGAATCCCCCTATTGTCATTTAATTCAATTCCTAATTTGTAATCTAGTAAATTCATGGATTCAAGACAATCGATAATCCACTGCTATTCAATATTCTTTTCCAAAATATATTAAACATATGTTTAACACGACCCGATCCTATTCCCAGTCCAAATTCATATGAAAAATATGCATTGATTCACATGATTTATCACACATGATTGTACATGCCATATATATTATTCCTAATATCTATTGTCCTTGTGTTGATTTTACCGCGTTCTAAACTTATTATGAGTATTCCTTCACTACAACNCTTAAGTTTTAACTCTTTTTCTTCTATTATTCTATCCAGTAGTGCTCCATTTCACCGAGCATGCTACGATTGTATCCATTGACGATCCTCAGCAAGCAACTGAAGCAATACTGATACACCGGCTTAACCCAAATGACAGCAATATAAGAGCAATGGTGGTGTAGCTACTTAATGCAGATAGCTGTAATAGAATCGAACTTCTACCAAATGATAAGACTGATCAAGTCGAGCAGAAAATATTTACCATATAAAGACCACCGGAAACAGGGCCAAGCTTCTTTATGTTGAAAATTGATCAACTAACTGACATGAGATGACAATAATAGAGGTTCGAATTCTGTTTTCGCTTTTTTATACTTCCTGCTTGAAATGGCATCAAGAGTAGAGATGGCGTCAGCAATATGCTTCCCTTTGTTCAACATCACACAACTTAATCTGCAACACAAGAAGAATGTAAATACGATTTTGAAATTTCATCATCATATCCACAACATAAAAATTAAATTTTTTTTACACCTTCATTCTGTTACAATTTTTTAGCAGTACGATTTTCCTATTATGCAGAACTGTATAATGTGCAGAAAATGACACTGTTGTCCTAGATCTTTTATGCTTGAACATCTAAGTGAAAACTGAATGCATCATTGACAATCTGATTGGAGGCATCCACATATGTTGGGTTTTGATACCCATTGAATCCCGGGTTATGATGTAAATGTTGGATTAAATTGTTACTAAAAATCAAACCCAAATGCTCGACCTGAAAACAACGTGGACCACTGGAAGTAGCTAAAACAATTAATGTTGCTCACGACCTATATAAATCATCTCTGGATGACTTTGAATCTTGGCCCATTTAACCTTTTATTGGTCCAACTAAAGCCTAAATTAACCTATATATATGGTGTCTTTAAGTGTATGATTTGTGTGAGAGAGAGAAGAAAACGTGGCTGCTCTTTCCTGCAAAAACCGGCTGCCATAGTTGAGAGATAAAACCGATGGCTACCTGGGTGTTTTTGGCCTCTTTTGTCCCTCTTTCATTGCTTTCTTCTTGTACCTTTGTGGTCCACAAATCATCACCGTCATCTTGTCCTTTGTGGGTGAGATTGAAGAGCAACCGAGGTGAATATATTGGTTGTAGGTTGGAACCGTTTGGATTGGTTGTTTGGTAAAGAAAGGTAATGTAAAACTGAACTTGGAAAACAGCGTTTTGACGATTCTTGATGTGAGCTTCCGTGACAACATATATGGCCTAACGAGCATTTAACTGCAAATCCCGTGGGTATCTGATGAAGTTTTCTCTCATCATAATTCATAAGTGAACTAGAACTTTAGCTGCATTGGTAATTTCAGCTCTAGAGGGAACTCCAGAACTTGTCTTTGCAAGTTCTTCTAGCAACACGACAATATTGTGAACATCTCGGACAAATGAAATAGCCACCATGTCAGCAGTCAGCGTGTTCAGCTACAAAGTCAAGATCCTTCGAAGTAAGGCCTTCGTATCGAATGTGACTCTCTGGGGTGTTTATGGATTTTTCAGAGCCAAGCTTAGTACCTCTTGGGCCAGCATGAGTGATTGAAACAATAACTTCCGAATCAAATAGATAACCAGATGGGTAGGTTATCCTATGGGCACCAAACCACCAACTGATGAAGTTGATTCATCCAGTTCATCTGAACTATATCAAGATAGTATCAATATGTCACCCACTCTCGGGCCTTACAAATTGCTCTGCAGGGGGAACATCTATAACAAATCCAACTGAAGATTTTCTTCCCTTCTCCTTCATACGGAGTACAGTACCAGATTCAACAAACTCAGTCTTCCTACACTCAGCAATGAATCCAACCCCAGAAGAAGTAGGATACTTGCTCAAAATCCCGAGTGCCCTCAGCTTTCCATGTGCATCGCAAAATCTCACTGAATCATCTACTTCTAGTTTACTTTGAAATTCTTGGCCATTCATGTGCAAAATTACATCAGGAGATACATGAGGCGGTGGCAGACCTGTTCCTTGGGGAGAAAGCCAAACTTTGGCTGGACATATCACACCTCCAACGACATTCTTCACGGGGGATATTTTCACCACACATGGACCTGCCTTCAGTTTGCCAGTTCAAAGCTTTGGTCCATCTAAGTCCATGAGCACCCAACATGGCTTCTCAAGAATTTGAGAACTTTTCTTCACCCTTTTTACCATTTCATTCCATGTATCTGGATTACCACGTGCACAGTTGATGCGGAAAATGGTGGCCCCTGCTTCTATAAGACTAGCTACATGAAAATCATTGTCGACTACATCTTGGACAACTGTTACCATGACATGAGTGCCTCTCTGCCTTTGAAGTGTTCCCAACAGTATATTCCTATTGGCTATTAGAGAATGCCCTTTTCGTCATTGCAGTTATTGCGAAGTCCCCTTTTGTTCAATTACCCGAAGCACTTCACCAGAACTTTTAAGCCACAGAGGGGATTTGATTTTGAGTTATTCAGCATTTGGATACACAGAGAAAGACTTGAAAGAACATATGGATTTATAGTCTCCAAATTCAGAGTCCCAGTGAAGAAAGCTCTTCTTTAATCTGTTCTATATCTAGGCTTTTTAAAGCCAGATAGCGTATTAGGTTTGTTGCACTCACCAAGTAATTTCAAGTAAAACCATGTTATTTATAGTTTGTTCTCATAAAACTAGAGAAGAAAAGGAAGACGCCAAGAAATTAATTGTTGATATTTCTTACTAAAGAAAAGACAGTATTTACCCGTGACACATTTTGAGTTTTGAAGCATTCCATTGTATTATACAAATTACAGACAAAAGATTACAGATCGAAACAGATCTCAAAACCCTATTACATTTGAAATCACCCTAATACATGAAACTATGAAGATCACCACTGAACATCAAAGTATCACAGATGTATAGGCTCAGAACATCAAACCTAAAACCCCTTACAACACCATAAGCCCAGTTCCACCATAAACCATCACAGTCAAACCGTAAACACAAAGCTACTACAATGAGACAGAGGGATTAAAGACTACCACTCTAAAAGGCCTAACAAACCCATGGATCTCACTAAGAAACAACTCAAGAAACTGATTCAAGAGAAATCCTCACACAGAAGATGAACCAGAGAACACTCAGAAGTCTCCAGAAGAAAACGAGAGAAAAGAGAGTGAAT